GGAAACCCAAGGAGGGGTCGCTATGAGGTGGGGCCGACTTGATGGCACATAACAACAACAGCAGAGGCACCCTACTCCACCAGTGTGCCTCAGCCTGAGGGCACTCAGCTTTCTCACTGGTAGATCAGCGAGTCTAGCTCCGTGGATGGTTAAATACCCAGGGGACCGCACTCTGCCAGGAAGCCTGCTGTCTGAAGTCACTCCGCTTTCTCGCTCTGTGGGCCAGGAAGCCCACTGCTCTGTCTCACGCCAGTCTCTTGGTTCTGCTGCTACTTTTTCTCTGCTGCTGCTTCTCATCTACGAGTTGGTGTCACAGCTTCCTGTCTCCTGGATCAAGGAGATTCAGTGCAGAGGTCTCGGTTGCTCTATTCTCAGCTCTACTTTCTTGATGGTAGTGAGAGTCCCCCTTTTCTGCCTCTGGGACAGCTCATTTTAATCCTACCAGGATGACAAAACTGTCAGATCCCAACATTAAGGTTCCGTATATTTTATTGCATGGTCCCACCCCCATGTGCCTCATATCATGGTCCACCCCCACCACTTGTCTGTCACTTTGTCATACTGTGGTGGCTTACATGTTGCTGTGAGCCTGGAAGCTATGCCACCAGTATTTTGAATACCAGCAGGGCCACCCATGGTGTACAAGTATCAATGGAGCTTCCAGACTAAGACCAGGAAAAGCTGTGACTAGGCCCACTTTTGGAAAAAAAATATCTTGGCTACTGAAAACCTAATGAAAAGCAATAAAACATTGGCTGATCTAGTGCTGGAAGGTGAGCCCCTAAGGTTGTCAAAATACCACTGGGAAAGAGCTGCCTCCTCAAAGTACAGTTGACCTTAATGATGTGGATGGAGTAAATCTTTCAGGACCCACTAGTGCTACTACTAGCACTACTCAAAATGAGAAGAAACAGCTTCAAATATCCATTTATACTTGGAATGTGAAATGTATGAAGTGGGAACCAAGGAAAATTGGAAATGGTCAAAAATGAAATGGAATGCATAAAGATTGATATCCTAGGCATTAGTGAGCTGAAATGGACTGGTATTGGCCATTTTGAACCAGTCAGTCATATGGTCAGCTATGCTGGGAATGACAAATTGAAGAGGAATGGTGTTACATTCATCATCAGAAAGAAGATTTCAAGATCTGTCCTGAAGTACAGTGCTGTCAGTGATAGGATAATATCTATATATCTATAAGGAAGACCAGTTAATAGTACTACTATTCAAATTTACACACCAACCACTAAAGCCAAAGGCAAGGAAATTGAAGATTTTTACTAACTTCTGCAGTCTCAAATTGACCAAACATACAATCAAGATGTACTGATTATTACTGGTGATTGGAATATGAAAGTTGGGAACAAACAGTAACCTGTAGTTGGGAAAGATAGCCTTGGTGATAGAAATGATGCCGGAGATCACATGGTAGAATTTTGCAAGACCAATGACTTATTCATTGCAAATACCTTTATTCACAGGAGTCAGATGGACTCCATCTGTGAAAAGAGGTGATGGAGAAACTCAGTATCATCAGTCAGAACAAGGCCAGGAGCTGACTATGGAACAGACCATCAACTGCTCGTATATGCAAGTTCAAGTCGAACCTGAAGAAAATTGAAACAAGAGCCAAAATAAGACCTGACATACATCCTACCTGAATTCAGAGAGCATCTGAAGAATAGGTTTAGCATGTTGAACACCAGTGACCAAAGACCAGACAAGTTGTGGGATGACATTAAGAACATCATATATGAAGAAAGCAAAAGGTCATTAAAAAGATAGGAAAGGAAAAAAAGACCAAAATGGATGTCCAAAGAGAGTCTGAAACTTGCTCTTAAACAGAGAATGGAGGAAATGATGAAGTAAAATATCTGAACTAAAGATGCCAAAAGGCAGCTTGAGAGGAGAAACTAAACAAAGTAAAATGTACAAAGACCTGGAGATAGAGAATCAAAGGCGAAGAACACACTCGGCATTTCTGAAGCTGAAATAACTGAAGAAAAAATTCAAGCCTCCAATTGGAATATTTAAGATTCTAATGGAAAAATTTTGAACAATGCAGGACTCATCAAAAGACAATGGGAGAGGGGAGTGAAACTAAATGTATGCATAATGTTGAATGTAAAACAAACTCTTACAGTAAAGATAAATAAATAAATAAGACAATGGGAGAAATATGGAATCACTGTACCAGAAAGAATTGGTCGACTTTCAGCCATTTCAGGAGGGAGCATATGATCAAGAACTGATGTTATTGAAGAAAGAAGTCCAAGCTGCACTGAAAGCATTGGAGAAAAACAAGGCTCCAGGAACTGATGGAAGACCCACTAATATTTAAACAAACTGATGCAGCACTGGAGGCACTCACTTTTTTATGCCAAGAAATTTGGAAGACATTTTACCTGGCCAACTGACTGGAAGAGACACATATTGGTGCCCATTCCAAAGAAAGATTATCCAACAAAATGTGGAAATTATCGGACCATGTAATTAGTATCACATGCAAGTAAAATTTTGCTGAAGATAATTCAAAAACAGTTGCAGGGAACTTCAAGAAATGCAAGCTGGATTCAGAAGAAGACATAGAACAAGGAGTATCATTGCTGATCTCAGATGGATCGTGGCTGAAAGCAAAGTATACCGGAAACATATGTTTACCTACGTTTTACTGAGTAGTTGTTGTTGTTGTTATGTGCCGTCAAGTCGGACCCAACTCTTAGCGACCCCTCCTTGGGTTTCCGAGGCAGTATCACTACGGAAGTAGATTGCCCCATCTTCCTTCTGAGTTTTACTGAATATGCAGAGGCATTCCACTGTGTGATTCATAACAAATTATGGATAACATTGCGAACAATGGGAATTCTAGAACATTTAATAGTGCTCATGAAGAACTTGTGCATAGACCAAGAGGCAATTGTTTGAACAAGAAAGGTGTGCATCAGGGTTGTATCCTTTCACCATACTTACTCAATCTGTATGCTGAGCAAATAATCAGAGAAGTCGGATTACATGAAGAAGAATGTAGCATCAGGATTGGAGGAAGACTCATTAACAACCTGCAATATGCAGATGACACAGCCTTGCTTTGCTGAAAGTGAAGAAGACTTTAAGCACTTATTGATGGAGACCAATGACTGCAACATTCAATATGCATTACACCTCAACATAAGTAAAAAATCCTAACAAGTGGACCAGTAAGCAACATCATGAAAGATGGAGAAAAGATTGAAGTTGTAAAGGATTTAATTTTACTTGGATCCACAATCAATGCCTAAGGAAGCAGCAGTCAAGAAATCAAACAATATTTTGCATTGGGCAATTCTGCTGCAAAAGACCTCTTTAAAGTGTTTAAGAGCCAAGATATCACTTTGCAGACTAAGGAGTGCCTGGCCCAAGCCATGGTATTTTCATTAACCTCATATGCATGTGAGAGCTGGCTTATAGGAAGGAAGACCTCAGAAGAATTTATGCATTTGAATTGTGGTGTGGCAGAGAATAGTGAATGTCCCATGGACTGCTAGAAGAACAAACAAATCTGTCTCGGAGGAAATACAGCCAGAATGTTCTTTAGAAGTGAGAATGGCCAGACTTTGTCTCACCTACTTTGGTCATGTTGTCAGAAAGGGCTACTCCCTGGAGAAGGATATTGTGCTGGGTGAAGTTGAGGGTCAGTGAGGAAGGGGGAAGACCCTCAACGAAGTGGATTGACACAGTGCCCACAATGATGGGCTCAAGCATAGCAAAGGTTATGAGGTTGGCGTAGCACTGGGCAGTGTTTTGTTCTGTTGTACAGAGGGTAGCCATGAGTCAGAACCAACTCAGTGACACCTGACAACCCACAACAAGGGTGCCATGCTCCTTGTTTACATAATCAGCAAGCTACCCACTCCCCTTGGTAGGCCATCAGTACTTCGCATTTGTGTAGTGGGTGGGAGTCACAAAGACCATGGCTATAAGGGCTGCACTAAGCAGTTCAGTGCACCACACATGCCATTTGGTGTTTCCAGCACCTCACCAACACTTTGTATTTGCAGTCTCATTTTAGCCATACTGTAGATCTGTAGTAGTAGCTCATGGCTTTAGTTTACATTTCCCTGATGGCTAATGATGTTGAACAACTTGTCTTGTGCTTATTTGCTTTGTGTATATCTTCTTTGGTGAAGTTCAAATCTTCTGCTCATATTTTTAAATGGATTTTTTGTCTTCTTAGTATAGATTTGTGAGAGTTCTGTATATAGAGGTCTTGTATCATATGTTTTGCAAATGTTTTCTGATAGTCTATGGCTTGTCTTTTCATTTTATTTTTTTATTTTGAAATAATTGTAGAGTTACAGAAAAGTTGCAAAAATAGTAAAGAATTAGTATATACCCTTCACTTAGTTTCCCCTAATGCTAAAATATTACATACAATTAATTATAAAAATCAGGACATTAATATTGATAGAGAATTTCACCAGTTTTCCACTAATGTCCATGTAAAATTTTATTTTCCCATTTGAAAAGCTAAAGATTTCAAATTTTAGGTCATATTTTATGAACGTTATATATTAAAAGATTGAAAAAACAAAAAAAATACTTTGTGATGTGAAAATCACAGGAAATAAAATTTAGTTTTTTAGTTTCTTCATATTTTATTCTTTTTTAATCATGTTTAAGAAATTTTTGCCTAGTGTCCATCCAAGGCACTATTGGTCTCTATTTACATGGAGCAACAGAGGAAGGAGGAAAGTCCAGAGTGGGAGGAGGATCTGGAATGTGGGCCTAATTGTCTCCATGAACAACTGCCTCCTTTGGCATGAGACCAGAGAAACTGTGTGATGCCCTGCTACCATTACTGAACATTTTGATCAAAGATTTCATAGAAGACTCCTGATCAAAAGAGGGAAAATGTAGAACAGAATTTCAGATTCTCATGGATTTCAGACTATTTGGAGCCTTGGAGAGTAAGTGAACCCTTGAAACTACTACTCTGAGATAATCTTTAAACCTTAAACCAAAAATATCCCCCAAAGTCATCTTAAAACCAAGCAATAGTTCAGCTTCACTAGTAGAAAAGGTCAGCCTTGAGCAAGGTGCTCTTTGAAGAACTATCTCTATGGGATCAGATTGACAACAGCAGCTCAAAAGATGATATATAAACCTTAGAGGGCAGTGAGTTTATGTTGATAAGGGAAGAACAACTCAGAAAAGGGGGCTGAGAGTGGTTGCACAACTCAAAAAATGTGATCAGTGTCACTAACTTGTACATGGAGAAATTGTGGAATTGGTATATGTTTTAGTGTGTATATTCTAACAACAGCAACAAAATGAAATTTAGAGAAAAAAATCATTGCCTAATCCTAAGTCCGGATAGCTCAGTCGGTAGAGCATCAGACTTTTAATCTGAGGGTCCAGGGTTCAAGTCCCTATTCGGGCGACTCATGTTTGGGAGCTCTGGTAGCATAGTGCCTAAGGCACTTGACTGCAAACCAGAAGGCTGGCAGTTCAAACCCACCAACCACTCCTCAGAAGGAAGGTTGGGCAATCCTACTTCCGTAGTGATACTGACTCAGAAACCCAAGGAGGGGTTGCTATGAGTCGGGGCCGACTCGACGGCAAATAACAACAACAACAATCCTAAGTCATTAAAGATTTTATCTATTTCCTTCCAGAAGTGTTACAGTTTTAGCTCTTACATTTAAGTTTGTGATCCAGTTTGATCCATTTTTGTAATTTAGATTTTTGTGTGGTATGATATAAAGAGCATATTTTTGCCAGGGGATATCCATATGTTCCATTACCATTTGTTGAATTGATTCTCCTTTTTCTCTTGAATTGCTTTGGCACCTTTTGAAAATCGATTTACCATATGTTTGGTCTACTTTGGGACTGAAATATTTAGTTCCAATGATACATATGTCTATCTGTATGGCAGTAATGTACGGTCTTAATTACTACAGCATTATAGGAAGCTTTAAAATCAGGTAGTTTAAGTCTCTCTCTTTTTCAAAATTGTTTTGTGACTCCAATTACAAATATGTTAGGATGCTTATGTTAGACCAGTGATGCTCTGCTTGTTTGTTTTTCAGTCTGTCTTTACTCTTTCATTTTGAATAGTTTCTATTGCTGTGTTTTCAAGTTCACTAATATTTTCTTATGCAGTGTCTAACAAGCTTTTAATCCCAGCCAGTGTACTTTTTATCACAGATGTTGTATTTTTCATCCCTGGAAGTATAATAAAAACCAAAACAAAGAAATGCAAATCTGGCACTTTTTGTGATTTCTACTTTCAAGACTTACTTTCAATTGCAAATATTAAGAATATTGTTAAACAACTAATTTTTCTTTTTCAGCTGCAGTAGACTGCTCAGTTCCATTAAGCATGAGTACCAGCATCAAATGTAAGTAGCTTTTTGACCTATTGCCTTTTGAAAACTTTTCTAGCTTTTTTTATATAAAAGAAGCTTGTATCATATTTCTAAGTTTAGAAATATAATACAACACAGATTGTATTATATTAATATAATACAGATTTGCCACAACATTTTTATGCGACACTGGATAATTATTTAATATCCCTGAATTTCATTTTTCCTGTATGTAAAGATGTGGGTCGTACTTAAAAGAACTTACCAAGGTATGAGCTCTAGAATTTTATGATTTTCACTGCCCTTGGGTTGTTGTCAAGGTAACTGCACAGTTCACTAAAAATACCATAATTGGCGCTTTTCTCCAGATAAATATTGTCTATTCTTCATATGGAGCTCTGGTAGCATAGTGGCTAAGACACTTGCCTGCTAACCAGATGGCTGGTGGTTCAAGCCCACCAGCCACTCCTCTGAAGGAAGGTTGGGCAATTCTACTTCCGTAGTGATACTGCCTCGGAAACCCAAGGAGGGGTCGCTATGAGTCGGGTTTGACTCGACGGCACATAACAACAACAACAACAACTACAATATTCTTCATATCCTAATAGCCTAACTGATAAATAGTAGTTTTTTGCATCTGAAAAGCCATATTGACTTATAATAGTATTTAATCCTGAAATATGTGAAATAGCTACCCGTTGACTACCCAACATCTCCACTTTTAGAAATCTTTACTGAGGAAATAATCAGACCACAAATTTGAAATTCCATTTAAAAATTTTCTGAAGTTAATATTTTAATTTAGTATAGCCATACCTCACTTATTGACTATCTCATTACCTGATACTTTGCATTTACAACAATAGCAAAAAAGCTACTATCTGACTATTTTGCATATTAATGACATATATCTGGCCATAACGAACACTGAGGTGCAAGGCGAGAGTGACACTGGCTGTGATGGTTAAGGTTTATGTGTCATCTTAGCTGGGCCATGATCCTCAGTAGTTTGGCAGTTATGTAATGATATAATTTAGTAGTTGTCTGGTAGCATAGTGGCTAAGACACTTGCCTGCTAACCAGACGGCTGGCGGTTCAAACCCACCAGCCACTCCTCGGAAGGAAGGTTGGGCAATCCTACTTCCGTAGTGATACTGCCTCGGAAACCCAAGGAGGGGTCGCTATGAGTCGGGGCTGACTCGACGGCACATAACAACAACAACAACATAACATAATGATGTAATCTGGTAATTGTGGAATGATGTAGTCATCCTCCATTTTCACATAAGGCTGATTTTCACATAATAACCTGGTGTTTGGAACCTAACCGTGTTAATAAATGAGTAGCGGAGGTAGTTATTTATCGTCTAGTTGAGAGAGGATTCTTACATTATAAATAAATAGCAACCCTATGTAGTCCATGGTAAGTGATGAATAAAGACATAGGTAGGGAAATGCTCCTTGGCTACAACTGAAGGACAATCACAGTGAGCAGCACTGGTTGGACCCATCTCTTCTTGTGTATGTTTTTAATGAAAGAAATAGAACCTCAGCTCAGCCTCTAGCCACCTGCTGCCATTCAGCAAGCAGTGTCTTTGTCAGGCACTGTGCTTGGTACATGATTATTTCCCCTCTTTTGTTCCCATTGTGTTTTTTAACAAGCCCTAATGCATTTGACTTCTAACAGAAGGCTGGTGGTTCAAACCCACCAGCCACTCCTCAGGAGGAAGATTGGGCAGTTTACTTCCATAGTGATAACACCTCAGAAACCCAAGGAGGGGTCGCTATGAGTTGGGTCCTATTCAACAGCAGTGAGTTTGGTTTTTTTTTGGAATGTAGATTGAGGAGCTCTGGTGGTATATTGATAAAACATTGGGCTTCTCATCAAAAGGTCAGAGGTTTGAACCCACCAGCCACTCTATGGTGAAAGATGAAGCAGTCTGCTTCCATAAAGATTTACAGCCTTACTGAATGATCAGGTATGTCTAGGCAGGGGGGAGTGTGCCCATGACCATGTATAGGGTTGGCAGACTCTATTTCTACGTGTGTATTTGTACGGGCTGTAAGAATGTCCAGGTATATGGTAGAGCTGACAAGGGGCAAGGTTGTGGTGGCTTGACCACAGCCAGCTACCCAGAAGGAACAAGTAGTTGGACCTGTGCGCTCAGGACCATGGTTACAGGGGATATCAAGCTTAACTGGCATAACGTATTACACAAAAGCATTGTTCTACATACTACTTTGGTGAGTAGCAACTGATATTTTAAAAGCTTGCAAGAGGCCATCTAGATGCAACAATGGGTCTCTCCTCGTCCAGAGCAAAGAAGAACTAAGAAAAGTAAAGACACATGGAAATAATTAGTCGAAGGGACTGGTAGACCATGTGATCCTCAGCCTATATGACCATGAGACTAGAAGAACTAGATGGTGCCCATCTACCACCATGAACCACTTGGAAATGGATCAGTGCTGAAGATCCTGGGTAGAGTGAAAGAACAATGTGAAACAAAACTCAAAATCATGAAAAAAAAAAAGACCAGATTTACTGGTCTGATAGAGGCTGGTGAGACCACCAAGACTATGGCCCCCTACTTACCCTTCAGGTCTGGAACTGAACTCATTCCTGTGGCTTCCAGCCAAACAATAGACAGGCATGTGGGGTGAACACTGACATCAGGTAGGGTACATTTCTTGGAGTGATCAATTGTAGGAGAACAGAAGGGCCGTGTTTGTACAGGGAGATAGCTTTGGGGACAAGAATGTGGGGGAGGGAAGGACACAGGGAAGAGGTAACTACAGGGAGAAAGTGGGAAGAAAGCTGTTACAGTGTGGGGAATTGCAGTCAATGTCATGAAACAAATTATGTATGAACTGCTGTATGTATGGAAAATGAATTTGCTCTGTAAACTTTCACCCAAATCACAGAAAAGAAAGAAAAAAGATTTATAGCCTTAGAAACTTTATGGGGCTGTTCTTCTCTGTCTGTAAGGGTCTCTATGAGTTGGAATCAACTCAGTTGCACCAGGTTTGGTTTTGAATATAGGATTTCATATCTTTGAAGGAATCGTGGGGTTCATCAAATTTTATATGAGAGGTAAAGGCATCTAGGGCAATGTAGTGGCCTGAAGCATGTATTTCTCAAGCCCTCAGCACACTGGCAGATTGGGCAAGTCATTTTACCTTTACTCTCTTCTTTTCTGAGATGAAAAATAATTCATCTCTAAGATTTCTTATAGATTTTTACTTTCTGTGCTGCTTTATATTTTTCTGTATCATATTAGTAACTTTTTTAAAAGATACAAAAACTGGTTGTTCGATAGTTAAGATTTTTAAAAATTTGAATCATTTGAATTAACATGGTTTTCCCTGATTTTTTAGATCTATCCTCCTCTTTAATTGTAGTCATCTCTAATTAGAAAAGCTTTGCTAAATTTTCATACAGGTATTAATTTCCTGAATAAAAAATATATAAAATAACATCTGTGTGTGTGGGCATATAATAAATAATGTTGTTGTGGTTGTTGTTAGGTATTGTTGAGTCATTTCCAATTTACAAGGACCCTGTGGACAACAGAATGAAACAGAGCCTGGTCCTGCACCATCCTCACAATCCTTGCTGTGCTTGAGCCCATCATTGCAGCCACTGTGTCAGTCCATCTTGTTGAGAGTCTTCCCCTTTTTCACTGACCCTCCGCTTTACCGAGCATGATATCCTTCTTTAGGGACTGGTTCCTTCTGACATCATGACCAAAGTAGGTGAGATGAAGTCTGGACGTTCTCACTTCCAAGGAGTATTCTGGCTGCACTTCTTCCAGGACAGATTTGTTTGTTCTTCTGGCGGTCCATGGTATTTGCAGTATTCTTCACCAACACCACAATTCAAAGACATCACCTCTTCTTCAGTCTTCCTTATTCATTCCAGCTTTCACAAGCGTATGAGGCGATTGAAAATACCATGGCTTGAGTCGGGCGCACCTGTCTTCAAAGTTATATCCTTGCTTCTTAATGCATTAAAGAGGTCTTTTGCAGCAGATTTGCCCAATGTCTGATTTCCTGACTGCTGCTTCCCTGGGTGTTGACTGTGGCTCCAAGTAAAATGAAACCCCTGACGACTTCAGTCTGTTCTCAGTTTGTCATGATGTTGCTTATTGGTCCAGTTGTAAGGATTTTTTTGTTCTTTATATTGAGGTGTAAATTATACTGAAGACTGTAGTCTTTGATCTTCATCAGTAAGTGCTTCAAGTCATCTTCACTTTCAGCAAGCAAGGTTTGTGTGTGTGGCTATGTAATGTTGTTGTTGTTAGGTATTGTCAAGTCAACACATCTGCATATTGTAGGCTGTTAATGAGTCTTCCTTCGATCCTGACACCATGTTCCTATTCATATAGTCCAGCTTTTCGGATTAGTTGCTCAACATACAGATTGAATAAGTATGGCAAAAGGATATGATCCTGACCTACACCCTTCCTGATTTTAAAGTATGCAATATCCCCTTGTCCTGTTCAAATGACAGCCCTTGGTCTATGTACAGGTTCCTCATGAGAACAATTAAATGTTCTGGTATTCCCATTCTTTGCAATGTTATCCATAATTTGTTATGATGTACACAGTTAAATGCCTTTGCATAGTCAATGAAACAGATAGACAACTTTCTAGTATTACTTGCTTTCAGCTAAGATCCATCTGACATCAGCAATGATATCCCTTATTCCATGGCCTCTTCTGAATCCAGCTTACATTTCTGGAAGGTCCCTGTCAATATACTGCTATAACCATTTTTGAATAACCTTTAGCAAGATTTTACTTTTGTGTGATATTAATGATATTGTTTGATAACTTCCAAATTCTGTTGGATCACCTTTCTTTGGGATGGGCACAAATATCAATATCTTCTAGTCAGTTGGCCAGGTAGCTGTCTTCCAGATTATTGGCATAGGCAAGTAAGTGCCTCTAGCACAGCATCCATTTGTTGAAACATCTCAATGGGTGTCCCACCAATTCCTTCAGTGCAGCTTAGATTTCTTCCTTCCGTACCATTGGTCCTTGATCATATGCTTCCTCCATTGACAAATTCTTTTTGGTATAGTGACTTTGTGTATTCCTTCCGTCTTCTGTTGATGCTTTCTGCATTGTTCAGTATGTTGCCCATAGAATCCTCAGTATTGCAACTCAAGGATTGAATTTTTCTTCAGTTCTTTCAGCTTCAGAAATGCCCAGCGTGTTCTTCCCTTTGGGTTTTCTAACTGCAGCTTTCTAACTTGCACATTTCATTATAATACTTCGTTTCTCAAGTTACACTTTGAAAATCTTCTGTTCAGCTCTTTTATTTCAACATTTCTTCCTTTTGATTTAACTACTCTGTTCAAGAGCAGTTTTAGAGTCTCTTCTGACATCCATCTTGGTCTTTCCTTCCTTTTCTGTCTTTTTAATGGCCTTTTGCTTTCTTCATGTACAATATTCTTAATGTCATCCCACAGCTTGCCTGATTTTCGGTCATTTATGTTCAGTTCATCAAATTTTTTCTTTAGATGGTCTCTAACTTCAGGTGGGATATAATCAAGGTCATATTTTGGCTCTCATAGGTAGCATAGTGGCTAAGACAGTTGCCTGCTAACCAGACGGCTGGCGGTTCAAACCTACCAGCCACTCCTCGGAAGGAAGGTTGGGCAATCCTACTTCCGTAGTGATACTGCCTCAGAAACCCAAGGAGGGGTCGCTATGAGTCGAGTTTGACTCGACGGCACATAACAACAACAACAACAGACTTGTTTTAATTGTCTTCAGCTTCAACTTGAACTTGCATATGAGCAATTGATGGTCCATAACATAGTCAGCTCCTGGCCTTGTTTTGACTGAAGATATTGAGCTTCTCTGTCACCTCTTTGCACCGATGTTGTTGTTGTTGTTGTTGTTGTTATGTGCCGTCGAGTCAGCCCTGACTCATAGCTACCACTCCTTGGGTTGCCGAGGCAGTATCACTACAGAAGTAAATAGATTGCCCAACCTTCCTTCCAAGGAGTGGCTGGTGGGTTTGAACTGCTAGCCTTCTGATTAGCAGTCAAGTGCCTTAGGCACTATGCTACCAGAGCTCCACCAATGTAGTCAATTTTATTTCTGTGTATTATATCTGGTGAGGTCCACATATATAGCCACCATTTATATTGTTGAAAAAAGTGTTTGCAATGAGCAAGTCGTTGGTCTTGCAAAATTCTATCATGCGATATCTGGTCATATTTTCCAACTACCGATACTTCTTCTTTGTTTCCAGCATTGCATTCTCATCTCCAGCAATAATCAATACATCTTGATGGCATATTTGGTCAATTGCAGACTGCAGAAGTTGGTAAAAATATTCAGTCCTTTTCTGGTTACCTAGTGCTGCTCTGACAAGAATATACCACAAATGGATGGCCTTAAACAAACAGGAGTTTATTCTCTTACAGTTTGGAGGCTTTAAGTCCAAGTTCAAAGTGACAGGCTTTAGGGGCTGGGTGAAAGCCCTTCAGCCTTGTTATTCACCTCTGCCTCCTGCTCCCAGCCCACTGAAGCTAGTGGCTTTTCTTCACTCAGACAGCTGCTGGCTGCTGAGGCTAACAAGCCCAAGGTCGACAAATAAAATGGCATAGTCCTGATGTTACCAAACTACACGGTAGGCCATTAACTCAAGTCCATTGTAAGTCCCCAGGTCGGCAGAGCATGGCAGGCTACTGAACAACCACAGGGCTACATGCAGAGGCCAAGCACGCCATAAGTTAGAGACCATTCCCCAAGGCTTCTGCTTATATACAGGAAGCAGACCACATATCCCTAAGAAAGCTACTCAGCTGCTCACAGTAGATTCCACCATTGAGTTGATTACCAGTCTCATCATGGGGAATACTACACCCAGCTGCCCAGCCAAGCTGACATGCAAACTGAACCACCACAGATCTCTTCATCTTTGGCTTTAGTGGTTGGTGCGTACATTTGAGTAATAGCTGTGTTAACTTTTCTTCCTTGTAGGCGTATGGATATTACCTATCACTGGCAGCATTGTTCTTCAGGATAGATCTTGAAACATTCTTTTCAATGATGAATACACCATTCCTCTTCAATTTGTCATTCTTGGCATGGTAGACCATATGGTTGATTCAAAATGGCCAGTACCATTCCATTTCAGCTCATCAATGCCTAGGATAGTGATTTATTTTATTTTTGACAACTTCCAGTTTTCCTAGATGCATACTTTGTACATTCCATGTTCTGATTATTGATGGATGTTTGCAGTTCTTTTGTCCCATGTTAAGTCATGCTCCATCAGCAAATGAAGGTCCCCAAAGTTTTACTCCATCCACATCATTAAGGTCGACTCTACTTTGAGGAGGCAGCTCCTCCCCCGTCATATTTTGAGTGCCTTCCAACCTGAAGCACTTGTTTTCCGACACTATACGAAACAGTGCTTTGTGGTTATTCATAAAGCCTTCCAGTAATATATCAGACAGTGTTTCCCTGCTATTCATAAGGTTTTCAGTGGGTAATTCTAATAAATAACAGTGTGGATGTTAATCCTTTTGCTCAAACTCTCGGATTTAAAAATCCAAATTCACAAATTTAGAATTATCAGTCATTTTTGCATAATATTTTGTTTACTTCACTAGACTTCACTCATTAATTAATTCAACAAATATTCACTGGGCACCTACTATGTGCTATATGCAAGGACTAGAGCTGAAAAGGTGAATAAAGTGCCTACTTTTATAGAGCTTACACTGTAGTTGGAGGAGACAGACAATAAGCAAACACAGACAAGTAAATGTAGACTATGTGAGATGGTGCTAAATGCTGTGAGAAAATAGGAAGAGGAATGGGGCTCCAGCAGCTCCTTGGAGGAAAAGGCCTCACTGATGAGGTGACAAGTTGAGCAGAGAGACTGAAAAGAATTGAGGGGGAGTGCATGTGTATATCCGGGGGAAGAGCAATGCAGGAAAGGAAACCGCAAGTTCAAAAGGCTTGAGGTGGCATCATGATTGGTATATTCAGGGAACAGCCAGGAGGGCTGTGTGGCTGGTGTGAAAGGAGACAGCTGGAGAGGGACAGATGAGATGACTGTGGTGGTGCAGAGAGATTCAGGTCCTGGAGGGCTGTGGCCACTGCAAGGAGTTGGCTTTTACACCGAATGAAATCGGGAGCCTTGAGTCATTGGAGAGTCTTAAGTCAAGGAGTAACAATTTATCTTTTGAAAGTATCTCTCTGGCTACTGTGTTGAGATGCATCCTGAAGGGGTAATGGTAGTAGAAGCAGGATGACCAAACAGGAGAAAATTATCTAGATGAGAAGAAATGGCTACAGAGCAGTTACAGAGGAGCGAGTGTGAAATGGTTGGGCTGTCAACAGTATTTTTTAGGGATCCAGTATATTTAAAGGGTGAGTATTTATTTAGGGTGTCAACAGTATTTACTGTGGATCAAATGTACATAGAATATGAAAGAAAAAGAGGAATGAATTAAAAATGACGCCCAAGACCATGAAATAATACAAACACTGTGGAAAGCAATATGGTGATTCCTCAGAAAGCTGGAATTGGAGACACCATTTGAGCCAGCAATCCCATTACAAGGTATATATCCTGGAGAGGTGAGAGCCAGGACAGAAACACATATATGCACACTCATATTCATCGCAGCACTATTTATAATAGCAAAAAGATGGAAACAACCTACATGCCCATCAGCAGAAGAGAGGATGACCAAACTATAGTACATAGACATACTGGAATGCTACGTACGCAGCACTAAAGAATAATGTAGAATCTGCAAACCACCACATAATATGGATGAACTTGAGGACATTCTGCTGAGTGAAATAAGTCAATCACAGAAGGACAAATACAGTATTAGTTCATTGTTGTGGAGGGTCAAGGAAGGTTTATATATGGAGGTAAAACTTTCTTTGTGGTTGCCAGGTTGCCAGGGGAGGGGAGGGAACACTGCAGAAAAAAAAATGCATTGACCCATGTCACTTTAGTTCTGTGTATTTCACTGTACATAATTTATATTTCAATAAAATGCATTAAAAAAAAAAAGAAAGAAAGAATGACTCCCCGGATTTAGGGTCTGTCACCCAAGGGACAGCTGTCATCTATCCCATGTGTGTCAGTGGAACCGTGCTCCGCAGGGTTTCAATGCTGGTTTTTCAGGGGTGGACCCCCAGGCCTTCCTTCCGAGGCCCCTCTGGGTGGACTCACAGCTCCAAGCTTTCAGGGAAGAGCCGAGCACGTTAACCAGAGACTTGTTGTCTGTGTAGAGAAAGGTCTGTGGACTTTAAAACTTACACATCAATAGTGTAAACATTTTCACAAGAAATAAATATGCCCTTCATTAGTCTTAGGAGACCAAAAAATTAATTTTTCTGTTTTGTTCCATATTTTAGATGATATTTACAGGTTTGCTTTCTCCCTGGTAGATGCAGACGAGCAACGAAGAGAGAAACTCAAAAGGGAATTTGCACGATACGAGAAGGAGTTGAGATTAGCTAAAGCTGCAGCACAGACCAATTCTAAAAATAATTCCAAATCATCATTAAACAACCTGCAAAAGGTAAGACAGGATTTTTACCTTTTGAAAGCAAATATTTCTAAGATACTTCGTTATGGTTCAGTCTGACTTTTTGACCATCTGCCTTATTTGTCAGAAAAGTTCTAGATTTGTATTTAACCCAGAGGGAAATTTACACAGGCCTGTCAGCAGGAATCCGGAGCTGCCTCTGTGGCGGCTGACAGCACACTGTCATATAATCCACCTCCTCTCTTTCCCAGGAGAGTCTTTATTGGCCCCCAAGTCTTGTCACAGTGTGTTGTCCGTGGTGGTCACATGATAGGAGAATGTGAAGCATAAACTAAACTTTTACAACGAGAAGTGTCACCTTACACGAATGACCCTGTGACGTGCCATGATGATAACGCCTGCTTCTGTGTCCGTTTTTCAGGTTTTGAACTCTTGCCCCTTTAAGTACTTGCTTCTCATTGGCCACTTGTAGCTGCTTGTAGCTTTTGGGGCTTCATTTCTAGTGCTTGTTTCTGCCATGTAGGGATAGAAGCAGACAGTGTCTTTTAAGGCAAGGAAGGCTAGGTTTTTATAACAAGATGAACTTCGATTTGTTCTTACTGAGTGAGATGCTTAACTGAGAATTGAACCAGCAGCTCTAAACCTCGAAAGGAGACACAGTATCAGCACAGTTAGTGTTGTGAGTGTTGTGTGTACCTCGCCTGGCAGGGTTAGGTTTTCTGCACTGAATCTCTCCTGCAGACTAATGATCAGAGGACATTTCCCACTAAATCCTAGGTTGATATTCTTTTATTTCCTAAGCCCTAATTAGTGAAGGGGAGCTCTGGTAGCATAGTGGCTAAGATACTTGCCTGCTAACCAGACGGCTGGCAGTTCAAACCCACCAGCCACTCCTCGGAAGGAAGGTTGGGCAATCCTACTTCCGTAGTGGTACTGCCTCGGAAACCCAAGGAGGCGTCGCTATGAGTCGGGTTTGACTCGACGGCACATAACAACAACAACAACAATTAGTGAAGACTGAGAAGCTAAGACTTTCATGAAAACAATTTTTGGGCTTTTTTTACCTTGGTATTTTTAATCCCAAAGTACTCTTCCTACCAAAATCCTTCACCTTTGAGTAATGCTTTACACACACACCCAGATACAGCCTAAACCTCTCAACAGCCCTGTCGACAGTGAAGCTGTGGACGTGCTGAGTGTCCTGGGCCGTCAGGCAGGTGGGAAGACCAGGAACAGAAGCAGGTCCCTCAGGGCAAATCTGTCCCAAGATTCTACTTGCTGTTTCGGAATCTGGTCATCCATATGTGACTGCCACCACACTTTTCTTTCTAGTGATTGTACTTTGTAATTAAAAATTTAAAATATTTTCCATTATTTAGTTTTATAGATGTAATTTAATAATTTTATCTTTAGGTAAGAATAGCGTTTATTGGAAATGAAATATCTAATTAAGTCTGTACGTATAAGGTGGTTTTATTTAGTTTTCTCTTAGCTACTACAACCTTCTAACTTTGCCCTCCATAAAATAGTTATACTTTTATATGTATTTTCGTTGACTCCATTTAGGAGTCACAGTAACTTGCAGTCTGCCTAGACTTGATAAGTCTGGATGATAAATATTTTAGACATGTTCAAATTGTCTTAAAATTATTATTCGGGGCAGTATATTGATTTTGGTGATTAGATGGGTTTTATAGTTAACAGATTCCTGTTATGGTTATAATTTGAGTTCTGTGAAAGTTTACTATAATTAACCTTTAAAAAGAAAATGCTAGCTTTAGTTTCTGAATGAAAATATTAGCAATTTACATACACAAGGTCATACATCCAGAACTCTTTAAAAAATTGCCAGCACTGACCCTGGTGAACAAAGTGGACCTGGCTTTGATTTTCATTTCCTTGTACATGAGGCACTGTAGATGTGGAAGTGCTAGAGAATCATTGGCTCTGCCAAGCAGCCCGTTCAACTTACAGGGGAGTCTACTCCCCAGCCTACTCAACAAAATCTTACTGCAACTTCTAGTCATCTGACAAATGAATCTTTAAAAGATGGATTTCCTTTGCTTAATTTTATCGGGTTTGTATAGTAAGCCACGATTGAGATCTTTTCCATTTAAAACAATAATGTAAAATATATTTTAAAAATTACTTTAGTTTTTAAATAATTTCAGTAATTTTATTTATATGATAATTTATATGATAAGTACTATCTTGCTGCTAAGGAGCAGTAGTTAAGGCATTGAGATGCTAATCAAGGTTTGCTGTTTGACAAAAGATAGGCATATGAGGTGAACATTTATACTAGGTAGATACATTCCTTGGAGAGAACAATCATGGGAGAAAGAAGGGCTGCTTATGCACAGGAAGACAGCTCAGGGGGCAGGAGTGCATGGAGGGATGGACACAGGGAAGAGGTAACTATCGAGGGGAAGTAGGAGGAGTGCTGTTACATTATGGTAAATTGTAGTCAATGTCTTGAGACAATATGTATGTGAGCTGCTGTATGGAAAGTGAATTTGCTCTGTAAACTTTCACCCAAATCATGATTTTTAAAAAAAAAAGGTTTGCTGTTTGAACCCACCAGCCACTCGTGGGAGAAAGATGAGGCAGTCTGTTTCCATGAAGATCTGCAGCCCTGGACACTGTGGGACAGTTTCTCCTCTGTCCTATAGGATTGCTATGAGTCAGAACTGACGCCATGGCAGAGGATTTGATTTGGGCTTTGGTCTTGCTAGTGAGTAAAAAAACAGAGGAATAATAAAAAGAACTTCTTTCACCGCTACTTTTGTGTTGAGTGCTTACTGTCTATGTACAAGGTACTATTGTTATAACTATTAAACTATTAAATATGTTAATTCATTTAACTATTAAATGTATTAACTCATTTAATCTTCCTGTCAACTTCTTGGGATGGTATAATTTCAATTACTATCTTACAGATGAGAAAACTGAGGCACAGGATCTCAGAATCAACCCCAGACCAAGCCACTGTCTTCCACCATTGCCTCATACCATCTGTTTTAGAAACTCATTTGAAAATGTTATACTTTTAGATTTTTTACAGCACGAAGACTCTGAAACTGATTTTAACATCTAGCCTGGTAGTGACGAAGTCAGCTAACCCACTTACTGATTTGTCTAAGTAAAGTAAGTATAGATGACTGGATATGAATTTGTAAATGCAATTGACTGTCAAACCAAATGTTCTTAGTCTTTAGGGGACATGCAGGAAGAGGCTGATGTGATAATAGAAGAAGTAAATGAATTTCCATCCTTTGCAAGGTCACCAGTCCCTTCTTCAGAGAGACTCCTCCTCGGGCCATCTAAATCCAGTAAAGTCCTCGTGAATGGTACTGTGAAGAACTCCAGTTCCTCCCTCTCCACAATGGACTGTACAGCTTCCCGGCCCGGAAAACTGAGCTCCGGGACTGCTTACGGCAGAGGGCCCAGGAGCACGTTCCCAAACCCCCACCGCCTTCAGTTAGCTATTTCAAAAGCACCCAGTGGGGATCTTTTGGATAAACATTCTGAACTCTTTTCTAACAAACAATTGCCATTCACCCCACGCACTTTAAAAACAGAGGCGAAATCTTTCCTGTCACAGTATCGATATTACACTCCTGCCAGAAGAAAAAAGCATCAGCGGATCGAAGCTGAAACCCAGACTGAGTTAAGCAGGTATGTTGTCAGCAGCGGCTCATAGTAAATCCTTCCAGATAGTGTAGAAAGGAAATTAAAAAAAAAAAACAACTCAGTGCTATCAAGGCGATTCCAACTCATAGCAAACCCCTTTGGGTTTCTGAGGCAGTAAATCTTTATGGAAATAGACATCCCGGTCTTCCTTCAGCGGAGTGGCTGTTGGGTTTGAACCACCGGCTTTCTGGTTCAGTCAAATGCCATAGGCACTACGCCACCAGAGCTCCTAGAAAGGAAATTTCATATCCTGCACCTGAAGTCCTAGACTCAGGGTATATGTATCATTAAAACTGTAATAGTATTAGTTGAAAAAAAATACAGAAAAGTTAACTATTGAACTTGTTAGGCTCCTTATAAGCATGAATGCTACTTAATTAATTTTTCAAGCATAGTCCTTGACATTGTGCATGTTTTCAAACATTATGCATTTTTTCAGTATACTTAAAATAAGTCATCAGACAGCATCTGTGTAAACATATCAATTGATTGATGTTAAAAATAGCAAAACAACATACTCTAAAAGGAAAAACTGCGATCATTTAAGTAGCAACTCCTGTTACCCATTTCTTGCCCCCCAGTCTTGTATCCCCAAGAATAATTTCAGCCCCAGTCTTGTATCCCCAAGAATAATTTAGACAATTGGAAAAGTATAACTTACCTCAATGTTTCCATATGAAGTAGTGCCTGTTGTTGTTGTTATGTGCCGTGGAGTCAGCCCTGACTCATAGCAACCCCTCCTTGGGTTTCCGAGGCAGTATCACTATGGAAGTAGGAATGCCCAACCTTTCTTCCGAGGAGTGGCTGGTGGGTTTGAACCGCCAGCCTTCTGGTTAGCAGTCAAGTGCCTTAGCCACTACGTTACCAGAGCTCCCGAAGTAGTGCCTAGCACATAACAAATGTTCATAAGAGTTTGCCAAATGAATGAAGAAGTAAACAAACCTTGTAAAGTGTTAAATGTTAGCTAATTTGTGATTTTTTTCTAATGTTATGTGAATAAATATTTATCTAGTACTAGATTGTAGTTATTTTAGAAAGTAAAAAAAAAAAAAAAGACTAATAATCTTTTCTCTGGGTACGGTAATACCTGATGTGTTTATAGATATTTTTAACCTAAGTGTTAAAGGATTGAGCCTATGATAGGACTTGTCCAGTTGGGAAGAGATGAGGACAAAACTCCATCATAGCCTTTTCTGATTGTAGTGATGATTGCTCATGAAGATGATATTTTCCATCTCCTAGTCCTATTCTGGGAGCTCTGGTAGCATAGTGGCTAAAGCACTTGACTGCTAACCAGAAGGCTGGCGGTTCAAACCCACCGGCCACTCCTCGGAAGGAAGGTTGGGCAATCCTACTTCCGTAGTGATACTGCCTCGGAAACCCAAGGAGGGGTCACTATGAGTCGGGGCCGACTCGACGGCACATAACAACAACAACAGTCCTATTCTGTCCAACTGAAATCTAGCTGATATTCAGCAAAGGAAAAAGAGGCATACATAATCCAAGCCACATCTATTTCCTGATTGAACTCACTGCCATGGAGTAGATTCTGACTCATAGCAATCCAACCCCACCCCTACCCCCCATGGTGTTTCCAAGGCTGTAAATCTTTATGGAAGCAGACTGCCTCACCTTTCTTCCACGGAGCAGCGGGTGCATTTGAACCACCGAACCTTTTGGTTAGCAGACAAATACCCTAACCAGACTACCACCAGAGCTCCTATTACATCATTTCCTGATTATGTTATTGGAAATCACACATTTTATGAGAATAGACCAGTCTCCTCTTATGTTTGTGCTTGTTTTTTCCTGGACATTAAAGCTTGTTATCACAATGTCTATATTTGAAGGCTTATAGTAATTTCTTCTAAAATATTACAGCTTTAACTCTGATTTTGAGAGAGCTGAGACTGAGAATTTGACAGATTCAAAAGTGAACATAAAGCAGGTAATAAAAATGAGTTATGTTCATCTTTCTGCATTTGCGTTCTAGATGGTTTAACTTAAAAAGAGTATGTGTAGCTCTTTGGAGCGAATGTCTTTGTGTAATTATGAGGGCTGTGAAGTGTAGTCTCCTGGCGACACTTGTTGTATACTACAGCCGGTGTACGGAAGTGTCCTGTTTACAAATGCTTCTAGCTCCTGAATGGCCAGGTGGATCCTGCCCAATCTGGAAACGTTTGTTTATTAGCATCTTTTCTGATGGTTAATTGTCTGGCTAATTAGATTACTTTAATACCATAAATGTTTTCAAAGATGCAGACTTGAATTACTTAAGGAGCCAGCAAAGTTGGGCAGAAGCTCTTTGCATTTTTAGACCTGCATTTTTTTTTTTTCTCCAGAATTGCCACTGATTAAGCTCTTGGAAGTTACACACTTTACAAGAATGGATACACATCATTCGCTTACATTTGCTTTTACTGTTTCTAAACAATTAAACTCTTTCTCACAATGTTTGCATTTTGAAACCTTGGCAATAATTTCTTCTAAAATATCACAACTTTAAATTTTATTTTGAGGCAGTGATTTTTTTTTAGGGATGTAATTCATACACCAGTATTGGGTTATTGATTGTAAAAATGTTTTGTCTATTAAAATTTCACATGCAAACTAGGGGATAGAAGAATAAAATATAATCCCACTCAAGTTCCTTCTTCCCTTTGGAAAATGACTAGAAGATTATATATAGGTTTACATTCCAGCCATCAATCACTGTATGACATAGGGCCCTACCACCTAAGCTCTGAGGGGAACTCAGTTATCCTCTCAGAACTGATTTCATCATCTAGAACAACTGCACTTGCCTTGTAGGGTCACTGGGAGGAATAAATGATGCTGGTGAAGTGCCTAGCATGATGTGTATTTAATAAATGATAGCTACTGCCAGCTCGAGAATTAGAGAGTTAGCACTGCATTCAAGTAAATAAACCAAAGCAAAAGAAGTTTATTTTTATTACATGTGCGCTGAATGTTTATCCTTAACCCTGCAAGAAAATGGTGCGTCTCCATACCCAGGAGCTGGGAATAGATACCACTGGCAGTTGACTTGAGGAAGCTAGTCCAGTATTCACTGCCATGGACCTACATTTTACCAGCACTTTTATTGAACTGCACAGCACTGTGTGTGAATAAACACTGAAAAGATTGAAAATGCAAATAAGTGCTTGGCACAGTGTGTGCCACATACACATAGACAGGATTCTGTAAAAGTTGCCGTTATTTTGGTTGATACTATTGTTTGAATTGCCACGCTACCACCACTTCTACAGACTTGACGTGCTGGCGTTTGAAACAGATGGGCTATTTGAATTTCTAAATAATGAGTTTTTTTCTCAAATGTACTTAAAATTTTCAGATTTGCTTCATTTTTTCTTTATATGTTTATTCGTCGTGATTTTTTAAAACTTAACAATTTGAGTGAAAGTTTATAGAGCTAATTGGTTTTCCATTCAACAATTCCTATACGTTTTGTTACATGACATAATTGCAATCCCCACTACACAGCAGCCTCTTCCCACTCCCTCCTGCATTTCTCATTTAGATTTGTCCTCTCCTGTGCTTCCTGCCTTCTCAGCTTTCTCCTTGGGCAAAAGCAGCCCTTTTGATCTCATGTGGCAGATTGTCCTAAGAGGCGAATACCCCTCTCTTGTGTTACTGTTCACCTTACAAGCCTGTTGCTTGGCTGAAGAAGTTGAGCCAGTGGAATGAGGAGTTCAGGTCCAGGCGTGAAGGTCAGGTGACTAAGGGCCACAGCCTCAGGGGTTCCACCAGTCTGTATCAGACCAGTAAGCCTGGCCTTTTTTTTTTTTTTTCATGGTTTTGAATTTTGTTCCACATTTTTCACCCACTTTGTCCAGGACCTTCAGTTGTCATCCCTTTCAGAGCAGTAGTGGTATCTGGGCACCACCTAGTTCTACTGGTATTAGAGTCAAGGAGGCTGAAGTTCTCATTGTCCATTAGTCCTTTGGATTATTTGTTTCCATGCATCTTTGATTTTCTTCACTCTTTGCATTGGATAGAGAGACACCAATAGTGCACCTTAGATGGCTGTTCACTAAGTTTTAAGACAACAGCCAATGCTCACCACAAAAGGATGTAGAACATTGTCTTTATAAACTGTGTTATGCCATTTTAGTTACCTGTCCTCCAAGACTGTGGTCCTAAGCCCCTAAGCACAGTGACGTATTACCTCAAGGTGTTTGGTTATGGCTAAGTTTTCATAACTTTGCCCCATGATTGCTCTACTATATACATGGATATAATTACATACATACAAATGTAGTTGTTGTTGTTAGGTGCAGTTGAGTCATCTCTGACTCATAGCAACCCTGTGCACAGTAGAATGAAATACTGCCTGGTCCTGTGCCAGCCTCATGATCCTTGTTGTACCTGAGCCCATCGTTGCAGCCACTGTGTCAGTCCATCTCGTTGAGGGCTTTCCCCTTCTTCATTGAACCTCTGCCTTTACCAAGTATGATATCCTTCTCCAGGGAATGGTTCCTTCTGACAACATGACCAAAGTAGGTAAGACAAAGTCTGGGCCAATCTCACTTCCAAGGAGCATTCCAGCTGCACTTCTTCCAGGACTGATTTGTTAGTCCTTTTAGCAGACCATGGTAGTCTTAGCATTCTTCTCCAACACCACAACTCAAGAGCATCCACTCTTCTTCAGTCTTCCTTATTCATTGTCCAGTTCTTACATGCATAAGAGGCGATTGAAAATACCATGGCTTGGGTTAGGCGCACCTTAATCTTCAAAGAGACATCTTTGCTCTTCAGCACTTGAAAGAGGTCTTTTGCAGCAGATTTGCCCAAAGCAATATGTCATCTGCTGTCTTGATTGCTGCTTCCATTGGTGTTGATTGTAGAACCAAGTAATATGAAGTCCTTGACAACTTCAATCTTTTCTCCACTTATTGTGACACTGCTTATTGGTCTGGTTGTGAGGATTTTTGTTCTTTATATTGAGGTGTAATCCATACTGCAGACTGTAGTCTTTAATCTTCATCAGTAAGTGCTTCAAGTCATCCTCACTTTCTGTGAGCAAAGTTGTGTCGTCTGCATATCACAGATGGTTGATGAGTCTTTCTCCAATCCTGTTGCCATGTTCTTCTTCATATAATCCAGCTTCTCAGATTATTTGCTCAGCATACAACTTGAATAAGTATGGTGAAAGGAAGCAAACTTGACACACTCCCTTCTTGATTTGAACCATGCAGTATCCCCTTGTTCTGTTTGGACGACCTCCTGATCTATGTACAAGTTCCTCATGAGGACAATCAAGTGTACTGGAATTCCCATTCTTCTCAATGTTATCCACAATTTCTTATGATCCACACAATTGAATGCTTTTGCATACTCAATAAAACATAAGTAAACAATTTTCTGGTATTATTTGCTTTCAGCTAAGATCCAGCTGACATCAGCAATGATATTCCTCATTGCACATCCTCTTCTAAATCCAGCTTGCATTTTTGGAAGTTCTCTGTCAATATACTGCTATAATCATTTTTTAATTATCTTCAGTGAGATTTTACTTGTGATATTAATGATATTGTTACTAATGATATTGTTTGATAATTTCCTCATTCTGTGGGATCACCTTTCTTTGGAATGGGTAGAAAAGTGGATCTCTTCCAGTCAGTTGGCCAGGTAACTGACTTCCAAATCTCTTGGCATAGCCACCTGAGTGCCTGCAGTGGGGCATCCATTTGTTGAAACATCTCAATGGGTATTCCATCAATTCCTGGAGCCTTGTTCTTTGCCAGTTCCTTCAGTGCACCTTCAACTTCTTCCTTCAATAACATTGGTTCTTGATCATATGCCAGCTCCTGAAATGGCTGGACATCAACCAGTTCTTTTTGGTACAGTGACTCTGTATATTCCATCTTCTTTTGATGTTTCCTGCATCATTCAATATTTTGCCCATACAATCTTTCAGTATTTCAACTCAAGGCTTAATTTTTTTCCTCAGTTCTTTCATCTTGAGAAATGCCAAGCATGTTCTTCCCCTTTGGTTTTCTAACTCCAGGGCTTTGCACATTTCATTATAGTAATAGGCTTTGTCTTCTCAAGCTGCTCTTTAAATCTTCTGTTGAGCTCTTTTATCTTGTCATTTCTTCCATTTGCTTCAGCTACTCTCTGCTCAAGCGCAAGTTTCAGAGTCTCTTCTGACATCCATTTTGCTCTTTTCTTCCTTTCTCATCTTTTTAATGACCTCTTGCTTTGTTCATGGATGATGTTTTTGATGCCATCCCCTAATTCCTCTGTGTTTTGGTCATTGGTGTTCAGTGTATCAAATCTATTCTTTAAATGGTCTCTAAATTCAGGAGGGATATTATCAAGGTCATATTTTGGCTTTCGTGGACTTGTTCTAATTGTCATCAACTTCAACTTGAATGTGCATATGAACAATTGATAGTCTGTTCCACAATCAGCTCCTGGCCTTCTTTTGGCCAAAGATATTGAACTTCTCCATCACCTCTTGCCACAGATATAGTCATTCTATTCCTGTGTATTCCATCTGGTGAAGTCCACATGTGTATTATTGTTGTTAGGTGCTGTCAAGTTTTTTCCGACCCGTAGCAACCCTATGCACAGCAGAACCAAACACTGTCCTGTTCCACAACAGCTCCACAATGCTTGCTATACTTGAGCCCATCGCTGCAGCCACTGTGTCAGTCCATCTCGTAGAGGGCCTTCCCCTCTTTTGTCGACCCTCCACCTTACCAAGCATGACATCCTTCTCCAGGAAATTTTCCCTTTTTACAACATGACCGAAATAGGTGAGATGAAGTCTGGCCATTATCGCTTCCAAGGAGTATTCCAGCTGCACTTCTTCCAGGATAGATTTGTTACTTCTTTTAGCAGACCATGGTATCTTTGCATTCTTCTCCAACACCACAACTCAAAAGCATCAACTTTTCATCAGTCTTCCTTTTTCATTGT